ATCAAAGACTACAAGATTTCAAGAATTGAATCTTATCTTCATCATCAACAAGCTTAAGATCTTCAACGTGTTCAAAGTCAAAAACTTCAAAAACTCTTCACTTAAGAGGCAAGTCGAAGAACTCTTCACAAGCTATAAGCCAAAAAGCTTCGTTAAGCTCCACAGCTGAATTCAATTCCTTCAACATCATTACATTTGATTTGATCTCAAAATTATTTGGAATGTCAAAATAGTGAATTAATAGAAATTAGTTCCCAAGATTATAACTCAAACTCAAAGGGCTTATTGCTCATGGATTTCAGAATCTTAGAAGTTTTGGTTTTGCATAAAAAGTTTATACACAATTGCACATGACTCTCTCTTTACCACTAATTCAATAAGAACTGAGACTGAGAGTATATAAAAACCAAAGCAATTTAGGCATGGAAGGCTGCGATTTCAAGTTCCTTGGAAGGATCCGCCATGGGAGCACCGTATCTGCTGAAGAGTTTGTAAGAAGAGAGAATTGAAATGAAAGCATAGAAAGCAACCACAACAAAGGTGATGATCACTGAAGTTGTGGCTTTGCTACAGAATTTGCTGAATGAGCCGCAGGCCGAGCTCCAAGTTATTTCGGTGTCGCCATTGTAGGCTAAGTATAGGACCTCCGTCGATACCGTGCCCGCCGCTAGGGTTATATAGGTCAGCAACTATCAAGATACGAAGAAAGGAAACTCTACTCAAACTTTGCAATCTAGAACGATTATATTTGAATTATTTAATAGACGTATTAACTCACTTAATTATGAGTTCATATAGAAGGTAGGAAGAAATTATGGGAGATATGAGGTCAGCCCTGCTTATTAAATTAGGGTGATTATCTTCTTTCCGTGCCAAATAAAAAGAGATTTATTTGATTGTCATTTAATAGGCCAAGTTTGAAAATTTTCGTTGGTGCTCAATTAGAAAATAAAAGGTGTATATTTTTTAAAATTCTAAAAATATAAAAATGTACTACCAAGAAAAAAAAAACAAGTAGTTACCAGAGGAGTACTTTGACTTAATAGCATTTTCTTGTAAAAAGTCATTCTATACTCATCTATATAGTCTCTCATTGGGAGAGTTAGAAAATGCGTAGTCCATGGGGTTTATACCATCATCAAATATATGATTATTTTGTTGAAGTTGGTGGGCAGCAAAAAAATAGAGACTTGAAAAAAAAAATTCTTCAAAAATTCTGGAATTAATCAATAGAAAAACTGATTAATAGGTCATTTTCACTATGATTTATATCCCATTATATTGTCCAAATTACTATCACAAAAATGATGAAATAGAATCCATCAAAATCATACGGTCAAAAATAAAAAATTTAACCAATAATGTTATTCAACTAAAAAAACAACTAATTTGGGTATGTTTGGTAACATTTTTTATCTCATTCCTGGGTTTCAATTTTATTAAGAAACCAAAATATTTTACAACTATTTATGTTTCTTGTTCCTCAATTTTTAGAAACATTTTCAAAATTGTATAGAAATTTTGAAAACAACGAAAAAAAAGTTTCTTATTTTTATTTTCAATTTATTTAAAAAATAATAATAAAAGTATGGTTTTATATTCTTCTTGAGTTCTAATAGGGCTAAAGACACAATTCTATTTTTCATAAACAGAAGAAAAAACAAAATTTGTTTTACTCGACCAATTTGAATAATCCATTTAGACCTATTGTTTATCTAAAAGAAAAAAAATGATAGAACCTATCATTACCCATATGAGTCTTGGTATTAGTAAATCTTATTTTATTTATATATCCTTTGAAGATTCATGATATTATAATAAGTTTGGCTTAGGGTTGTAATTAAATGTTAATTTTGGGAGCATTGAAAATTAGGTAAACCTGATCGAGGCAGAAGAAAGTCCAAGCTTTAGACATGGTGGAAGGCCGAGGCATGGCCGCCACCACCGCCGACAGGAACGAGTAGCCGGCACATATCCCATTTGCATGCACCAAAAACCTGCATTTTTTTTCCAACAACACAAGAGATTCAATAACTATTTTATTTTTTATTTCTTGTTTTGAAAAATTATGCCCACAAACACCACTTTTGGTATGTTTTCTTGTTTTTTAATTTTTTTTTTTAAATTTGGCTAAGAATTCCAACCGTGAAAAACACATTGATAAATGGTAAGAGATCGAGCATCATTTTAAAAAACAGCAAACTAAAAATTACGATCTTGTTTATTCCTGGTTCTTCTGTTTTCAAAAATCATCCTTGTTTACTAACAATATTTCTTTACCTGCGGTGGACGAAATATTTTTTTTTTGTTATTGTCAAAATCAATGATTAAAAAATTGATTTTTAGAAAATCTAAAATCTCCTTTGATTTATAAACAAAATTTTAAATAAATAAAAAAACAAGAAAATAAAGTAGTTTTTTTTCTTTTTAATTTAGCTAAATAAAATAAGGGAAAAAACCCTACCAAGAGAATTGTTATAAGAGTTAACAAGCTAAAATTTCAAAAACATAACAAAAAAAAATGTTATCGGAGAGAACTAAAATAGTTATCAAATCTAGCCTAAGAACATAAAAAATAAAAAGAAAAAAAAACCATTTCAGATCCGAGAAAACAACCTAAAAAAACTCCACAGAATCAAAAAACAATCATATGGGTTTTTTAATCTAAATTTTGATCCATACTTGAAAGCTCCGAGGTCGGAGTAAGCAACAGAGCCGTAGTCGTCGGTCTGAGAGTTCTTGAGCATGACAATAAGCGCCGCCACGCAGAGCCCCATCGGAACAAGGCGGAGGAACGTGTCCGCCGCCCGCATGCCGCCGCCGCCGAGGATCTCATCGCCGCCGTCGCCGTCGCCATTGCTATATGTGATCTTCTCCATCTTGAAATTGGAAATTGGAAATTGGAAATGGAAGAGTGTTTTGTTTTTGTGGGCGTAGGGTCCAATTATAAGGCGTGTGATTTAAATTCATCTGACGCTGCTTCTGCATCTCTTGATGGTTCATTAATGGCGGTGGTTGAGCTGCGCAGTGGAGCAGCATTCATGGTGGATGTGTATGTATGTATGGCCATTAAATTTTCATTTCATAATTATCTTTATTTATGGATTGGTTTAATTGCCCAAGACATAATTTTACGATAATTTACATATTTCAGTCAAGAGTTTGTGAATTGTTTGATTCATACACTCACATATGTTGTATTAAAAAAAGAAAAAAGATATCGAGATTTAATCGGTATTTCTAAATTTAATCCATATGGTTTTGAATTTCGTTTTAATTTTATTTTTTGAGTTGGTTTGGTAATATTCCTATATTTTTTTTTCATATTCTCTTTTTAATTAAAAAGAAAAAAAACTATATTAGCTAACTATTTCTTATTCTTTCTTTTTCTATTGGAAAGAAACTTTTTGCTTCTCTAAAATTTTAGATTAAAATAAATCTAAAAGTTTATATAAAAATTTAAATTTTTAATTAAATATTTATTTTTTATTTTTATTATGCATTTCAAAAATAAAAAATTATAAGATAATATTTATATCTGTTTTTTTAAAAACTAGAAACAAGAAATAAGAAATTTGGAGTTCGTTTGGTTGTTTGCTTCTATTTTTTCTCCCTAATAAATAGAAACAAAACTGCATTTGATAATTGTTTTTTATTTTTTATTCTTGAAAAAATAGAAACATATTTGATAATCGTTTATTTGTTTCTTATTTTCTAAAATTTTAAATTAAAAAAAAAGTGAATTTTTTATACGAAAGCTAATTGTTTAAATTAAATATTCAAAATTTTTTCTTATATTTATAATGCATTTTAAATTTCAAGAATGATAGAATAATATTTTTATTTATGTTTTGAAAATAATTGAAAACAAGCTGAAACAAGAAAGCTTAATTTTGTTGTTCACACTTTTAGAAATGTTTCTTAAAAATGAGAGAGGAGAAAGAATATTTACAAAATGCTTATATTTCTCAAAAGTAAAAAAGAGGTAAAAAAAAACCAATAAACAATAAGGCTTAACCAAAACGAGCTCAATTTTGTTCTTTCCAAAACTTTTAATAATTTTGTAAACATTTCTTTAAAATGAGAAACAAATAACAAGGAACAACAATTCTCAAACGTTTTCTCAAAACTTGAAAACGAGAAAAAAAAGAGAGAGAAACGAAAAACGAAAAAAAACCCTTTATAATTTGAGTTCATATTCAATTTGATGGATAAATCTCATAAATTGTCCCCAAATTACATTGTACGCACTCGAAAAATCCAACTACTGTCCTTTTTTAGTTTTTTTTACTCAACCCCAGACTATTAAAATAAACTAATACAGTTTGGCCAATCAGCTGGGAGTCTTGCATCTCGAATTGGCTGGTCTTTGTGGCCAATCGAGATTTTCTTGTTTCATGCCTTCGATATTAATAATAAGGACTTTTAGTTAAAGAAATATCTTTTATATTATTTTTCTTTCATTTTCATGCCTTTTTTAAAAAAGAAATATTTGTCATCAATAATTAATTTCTTTTGAGAATTGAAAACCTTGGAGGTGGTAAGGAGGTAATTAATTTCTGCGTCGCCATTAATGCGAAATAAATTGAATCCAGGCGCAACTTGATGAAGAAGGAGCTGTATGAATCTACACGTTTCTTCGCTGTTCATGAAAATGTGAGGTTCTAAATTTGGTGGCTTTATATTGGTTTTTTAACATTAATTTGCATGTTTTTAGTGTTCCTAAATTTATTTAAAGACTTTCATAACAAAATTTTGAGATTGTTTTCAAAGGGTAATTAGATTTTGTAAAAGAATAAGTTACAAAAATGATACAATGACTTTGGACCATATGTAAAAGAATAAGTTACGAGAATGGATTTAGAGTTAGATGTTTCGTATTTGATATGTAAAGTTTAAAAGAAACACTTTAGGATCGTCCATTTGGTAATGTGTTCTCTCCTTTTTTATTTATGTTTCTTCTTATAGAATTTTGCATGACTCCTAATACTTATTATAGATTGGAGCATGACAAAACAATTTTTTATTTATCATGTTTTGGAACAAATTGTAAAAAGGAATATGAAAAACAATAAATTTGTTTTTGTTGTTTCCAAAATTTCTACATAATTTTGAGAATGTTTCCTACTTATGGAGCAATACGGTTAATATGAGAATAGAGATTGGACCGTAAAAGAAGAAGGAAGAACTGAGACCACCAACGGCTGGGGCCGACTCAGAGCATAAGGGTCAGCCTATTGACCCTACCTCGGCCCCTCGACGCTGAGCCTTTCTCGTTTTAGGTTAAGAAGGCTCTCGACCACCCTCTCCATCCCAGTGCCAACCAATCAATGTTCGGGCCCAAACCTGGTAAAAGGCCCGCATGTATCATGACCCAGTAAACCTGACTATTCGGAGATGACCTAGGGTTGAAATTCGTGAAACCCTAAGAGCAAGATTAACCATAAATAGAGGAGGAATCACCCATTGAAGGTAAGCTAACACGTATACTAAGTACTCCTGCTTGCTTAGCTATTCTCTCATAGCTAACTTTGGCATCGAAGCTCGTGTGACAGTAATCACACCGATTTAGAGTTACTCGATTTTGCAGGTATTCGGTCCCTTGATCATTGAGTTTGATGTGCATTCTGGAGAGGATCGGGAAGACCAAAAATCCAAGCATCAACACTGCCAAAAAATGATAAATAAGAAATACAAATAGTTGCCAAATGTTAGATTTCTTAATAAATTTAAAAACGAGAAACAAGAATTTGAAACATTATAAAATGCATATAAATATTAAAAAAAGACAATATGACATTAAAAATTTGAATACTTAATTTTAAAAATTAATTTTCATATAAAAATTATACTTTCTTTAATTTAATATTTTAGAAAACGAGAAATAAAAAATAATTACTAAATATGTTTTTTTTTCTAAATAAGAAACACAATCAATTTTCAACACAGGTAGATCTATTATAGAAGGGTCCCTCAACTTTGAAAGATTTTCATTATATGCTACATTATTTATACTTTTTAAGAGAATTCCCTCTTGGTCTAGTGGAGAAGGTGTCGAAGCCTTTTTTTAGTACAACATGTGAGGGTGGTTGGAGATATATGTCAATTATCACTAAGCTATTCTCGTTTTGGTAAGACACCTAACTCTCTTCTCAATAGTTGTGGATCGAGTTTATAGGTGTCATTTATTTCTTATAGTATAGATTATCTTCCTTGGGTAGGTGTTGATTCCTATATCATGTCTTGGAAGTTTTGCTAAAGAAAATTTTCATTATATATATCTATGTATATGTTGGTAGGATGTTAAAATTCTATTTTAAAAAAAAAAAAATAAGACTCTCTGAATGGTGCACCCCTACTCTAGTACTATTTTTAACTTAAAAATAAATTTTTTCCAATTTACGCATATGCATTTATCGTCCCTAGTCTAATTCTTACCAGCAATTCTATATCTTATAAATTATAGTTCATTTCATTTATGAATTTTTTTGAATTGTGTATTTGTAAATTTTATTTACTGAATTTCAAATAGAAGCCATCTCACAGAAAATTTTGAATATTGTCAAATACATTTATGTTTTAGTTTATTAAAAAACACGAACAAGAACAAGAACGATATCAAATGAGCTGTCGAGTTCTCCCATCTCTTAACATGGAAAAACACAAACTAATAAGGGAAATATATCTCAAAAAAGAAAAAACAAACTAATAAGGTAAATGACCCAGCACGTGAGCAAGAGCCACCTGGCCCTGCCCGGCTTGCCCGGTTTAACGAATTTCAAAATCCCTTTTTTTTATTTTTTTTTATTTTAATTTCCAATTAAATATAATTTGGATTGATACAAATTTCAAAATTCAAAAAGAAAAAAAAGCCAACGGTCGACTAACATGTCCTGAAAAGAGTAACGCAAAATTTTTCCATGGGAAATTGACACAAAAGGAATCAGAAATTTGAGAGCACTCCCATTTCTTTTCTCCTTTTTGATTCTCTTTGGATACTCTCATTATTGCTTCTCTAAGGAATTTCCGCTATTTCCCGCCTCACCCATTTGAATCTCTCCTCCTCCTTCTTCTTCTAATTGCCATTTCTCCATCTTAAAGTCTTCAGATTGTATTTTCTAACCTTCGTTTCCTACTTTATACAGACGTCTGATCTGACCCACTGATTAGATTTCCATTCCTGGGGTTCGATTCTTCGTTGCCCTGTTCTTTCCTCTGTTTCCCACTTCAAGAAAATGCAAGATCAAGATTCCTGTTGCAGCCCAGGTGATGAAGGTAACCCCGTTCATTTTCGTCTGTGAATTGATCTTTTTTTTCTTTATGATTTGCAGTTTTTGAATACCCTAGTTTCTGATTGTTCAATTTCAGTAAGTTGAAGCGATGGCGAGAAAAACCCTAATTGTGTTCTGTTTTTGTTCTTTTTTTATGGTCTAATCTTGAATCCTTGCAAGTTTCAGGGCTCGAATTTACCTTGACTTCTCCTGATCTAGTTGTCTGTGCTGGTTCTCCCGATATTCCGGGAGACAACTACTGTGATTCACCGGAATTCTTGGATATTAAGTGTTGTAAACCAATAGAGTCTTCCATGGAGCTTTCTTTTGAAAATAGCTTTTCTACTGAGGTTAACTACAATAAGAGGACCCCATCTGTTAAATTTTCCAAGTTGTGCCAAACCTATGAGCAAGAACTGTCACCAGAATCTTCCTTTGAGTTGCCTCCTCCACCAGCAACCAGTTCTCTGCAATCTGAAGAACCCCTTCAAGCTGTAAGTGTCAATGCAGGTTCCACAAGTGATGCTGTGACTTTGGATGGGGTATGCTATGTGGAAGACAAGTGGTTTAAGGGTGGTGACACCATAAGGTCTGATGAAATTGAACATCCTCTATACCAAACGGCTCGGTTCGGGAACTTTTGTTACAGCTTCTCGTCGTTGGAGCCTGGGAATTATGTTGTTGACCTGTATTTTGCTGAAATTGTATTTACCAATGGCCCTGCTGGTATGAGGGTGTTTGATGTCTATTTACAAGACCAGAAGGTGAGAAACCGCGTCTCATAGCCGAATTACACACACAACATCTTATGCTTTTTGTTCCAAATCTTAAGAAATCTCGATAGATATGTTGTTGGTTCGGTTGTAGGTTGTTGCCGGCCTGGATATATATGCTCGTGTGGGTGGAAATAAGCCTCTCGTTATGTCTGACCTCAAAGCTTCTGTAGATGTTCAAGATTTAACCATTAGATTTGAAGGACAGATGGGCAGGCCAATTGTTTGTGGTATTTCTGTGAGGAAAGATCTTCCTTCAAGTAAGTCAACCAATCATTTTATTTCCATTTGTTCATGTTTTTTCAACTTTTAGTACTTATAATCTTCTGATAATGGACAATCCCCATGTCAGATATTGAAGAAGTTGAACAGCTAGAAGATGTGGGATCATGTCGACTAGAAAATTCAGAGATGTCCAAAGTAGAACTTCTTACAAACTGATCAAATTTAAGATTAAAACTTGTTGGGCATACTATAAAATAATTGCATTGATGTTCTGTAGGATAGTGGTGACTTGATAGTAAAAGATAAGAAGTACCTAGAGCTCCAAAAGGATTTTGAGCTCATGAAGAATGAGCTAGCAGCAGCAAGGAGAGATATGGAAGAACTTAGAAGGGAAAATAATCTAAAGAGCAGAGAATGTCAAGAAGCCTGGAAGTCTTTAAATGAGCTACAAAATGAGCTCATGCGCAAGTCAATGCATGTTGGATCTCTTGGTAATAAATAGTCTTTTATAGCTTTGTAGCTATTTTACTATTTCTTAGATGATCCTTTGATATGTTTCCCTTTGCAGCTTTTGCCATTGAGGGACAAGTGAAAGAAAAGGGAAAATGGTTTTCATCATTGAGGGACCTTACCAGAAAAGTAAAGGTATGCAGTAAAGTATACGTTCATAACATATCGACATATGTGAAAAATAAGAATTAGTTATTAAGAAGTTTCATCTCTCAGATTATGAAAATTGAAAACATCAAGTTATCAGAGGAGGCACTGGCTTACAAGAATTGCCTTGTGGATATGAATGAAATGACTTCTAAAATCCAGACAGCATGTAAGCAAGCATGTCAACTTTTTACAAGAATTTACTATACGTTCATTCCATGTATACATTGTTAATTGACTATCTGAGTCTACTGGTTTTTCCTCTCTGCCTTCAATAGTTAAACAGCAATTATATTTGCAAGAAAACCTGAAGACTAAGTTCGTTGAAGGAGCTAAGGAAAGGAAAGAACTCTACAATAAGATGTTGGAGTTGAAAGGTAAGCTTTACAGTATTGTTCTGGTTTCAAAAGAGTTAGAGAAATGAAGCTAGTTAGTGATGTCATGCTCTTCGTTGCAGGAAACATTAGGGTCTTTTGTCGGTGTAGGCCTTTAAATACAGAAGAGATTGCATCTGGAGCGTCAATGGTTGTTGATTTTGAGTCTGCCAAAGATGGCGAGTTGATTGTTAAGTCTAATGGAGCTCCCAGAAGGATCTTTAAGTTTGATGCTGTATTTGGTCCTCAAGCAAATCAAGGTATGAGTGAGAGTACAGTGTAAATGAGCAAGATGAAGACAATTAGTAGAATATTAGATGTGATTTATGGTGGCATATTGATGAGTTTTGTACCTGCATTTGTAGGAGATGTCTTTGAAGATACTGCGCCATTTGCAGCTTCAGTTCTAGACGGGTACAACGTTTGCATATTTGCGTACGGGCAAACGGGGACTGGAAAAACTTTTACAATGGAGGGTACTGAGGAAGCTCGTGGAGTCAATTATAGGATTCTTGAGGAGCTGTTTCGCTTGACAAAGGAGCGCGGGAAGCTACATCGTTACAAAGTATCTGTTAGTGTCTTGGAAGTGTATAATGAGCAAATAAGGGACTTGCTCGTCTCAGGATCTCATTCAGGAAATGGTGCAAAGAGGTACGGATAGTTAGCCATTTCCCTAAAGTTTAATTCTTTGCATACTTACTGTCTAACGTTAGAACACACTTCTGCTGCAAAAAATTCTTCTTCCAAGTGACTCTTATATGATGTCAATTTCCAGTACAAGCTCAATGATAGTTACTGAATCATTGTGCTTGATATTGGATTATCTGTTAAACGATGGGTAAGTTTGATGTCACAAAACAGCATAGTGAAACTCCTTACTTTTGTAAATTATTTCAGACTGGAAGTAAGACAAGTGAGTGAAGGAATCCATCATGTTCCTGGCATGGTCGAGGCGCCTGTCGATAACATGAGTGAGGTTTGGGAAGTTCTACAAACTGGCAGTAATGCAAGAGCTGTTGGTTCTACCAACGCTAACGAGCACAGCAGTCGATCACACTGGTCTGTCTGTCTGTTTCTTTCACATTTGGTTTACTTATGAAAAGGATGTGATAGGCTTGTATATAGTTGGTGACTTTGGCTGTTTCTTAACAAAACAGCATACACTGTGTGATGGTGAAGGGGGAGAATTTGCTAAATGGGGAATGCACAAGTAGCAAACTATGGTTGGTGGACTTGGCAGGTAGTGAGCGGATTGCTAAAGTAGAAGTACAGGGAGAGAGACTGAAGGAGACTCAAAATATTAATAGATCTCTTTCTGCACTCGGTGATGTAATATCTGCTCTTGCAACAAAAAGTCCTCATGTTCCATTCAGGTTGATAAGATTTTGACTATTTTTGCACTTATATTATCTCATGATGTTGCGAATAACCGCACGCCGTCTTGCTTTGTTCTTCAATCTGGCAGGAACTCCAAGCTCACTCACTTGCTTCAAGATTCACTAGGTAGTACTTGTATGCCTTCTGTTCTAGATTTCAATAATACACATTGCTTCTATGTTTTGTGTTACTGACTGATAGATGTTCTAATTTTTAGGGGGAGATTCAAAGACACTCATGTTTTTACAGATCAGTCCCAATGAAAGTGACTTGAATGAGACTCTTTGCTCATTGAACTTTGCAAGCAGAGTAAGAGGAATTGAGTTGGGTCCTGCAAAGAGACAACTTGATATGTCTGAATTCCTTAAATGCAAACAGATGGTACAAGTGCTTATCCTTAACAGCTACAATCTCTTTTTGGGTTTTTTTTTTTTTTCCCTCTGAAGGAAATGTTCTACAATTGTATCATGTATGTGTTTGTTTATCATATTTTCAATCTGGTTCAATCATTGTTTGTTTTAGGCTGAGAAAACTAAGCAGGACATGAAGAGTAAAGATCTACAAATCAGAAAGATGGAAGAAACAATTCATGGATTAGACTTGAAGATGAAGGAAAAAGATCAGAAAACCAAAAATCTACAAGACAAGGTAAAAGAATTTCCACCTCAACTGAATTTACATAAACCAGTATGGAACCATATTCTTGTGCTGATTGATTTTGTGTGCATACATTACATTACAGGTCAAAGAACTTGAAGCTCAACTTCTTGTTGAAAGAAAGCTAGCACGTCAGCACGTTGACGCCAGAATAGCGGAGCAGCAACAACAACAGCAACAACAGCAGCATATGAAAACTGAATCAGAAGACCACAAGTCTGCAAGGCCACAACTCGCAAGCAGACCATTAGGTACTCTGAAAAATCTCCAAGGATCATTCAACAGCATACTTGGAAAGGAACAAATAAATCTCGTTCGGCCACTAACCGAAAACAACGGCTTCAAACCGTTGTTTCCATTTCCTCCAGTGGATGGTGCCTTCAATGCCGTCAAGTCCACTGATTCCACAGAGAAGGAGAACAATCCAGAGATGGCTGAAAGATCTCTTGTGCCAACAAAGAGGACAGGAAGAGCATCCATTTGCACAATGGCTCGACGCTTACCGATGGCTCCGGCTCCTAGGAGAATCTCCCTAATCCCTCTACCAAGCATACCAAGCTCAACTCATCTCCCATCACCAATGTTGCCATTGCAACCCTATCAAGCTGACAAGATAGACGAAGGCGATGGATCGGACGACAGCAGCCGCTTTCTGCCCGAACAGGCGCAGTGTGACACTCCTAAAGAGATGAAATATGGAGGTAAGAAGCTCAGCAACTTGTTGAGACGAAGCCTGCAGAAGAAAATGCAGATGAAGTCCCCA